AGCAGGGGAAGGGCGTGAGGAGGAAGGAGCAGCAAAGACAACGTGTGATGAACTGACCGCCACCCCCATTCCTCGTCCCCCTGTGCCGCTCAGGGGTAGGAGGTACAGAAATCAGGAGTGGAGTTGAGCCTGGGAAGAAGGGAGGGGTGGAGGGAAGGTGTTTTAAGATTTGTTTTTATTTCTCATTACCCTACTCCAATTTGACTGGTAATAAATTAAATTAATTTCCCCAAGTTGAGCCTGTTTTGCTTGTGACAGTAATTGGTAAGTGATCTCCCTGTCCTTATCTCAACCCATGAGTCTCGTTAAATTTTCTCTCCCCTGTCCAGCTGAGGATGGGGAGTGATAGAGCGGCTTGGTGGGCACCTACTGTCCAGCCAGGGTCAACCCACCACAAAGCCACTCTTACACATACTGGATACTAACACAAGCATCATTCCCATAGAAACATGGGAGTGAAAAGCAGGAAGATTCTCCTTGCAACAAGATTTAACTGAACCAGTCTGGGGAAAAAAAAAAGCCCCATTTTTATCTGTTCTTTATGTAATAGTATTTGTCCTTCTATAGTGATAATGCACATTTATTATAAGCATGATTTATTTAGGCATAATGTAGGTGTCAGGCAGAGAAAAAAATCTGCTTAAAACTCTATGTCTATGACAATGACAGATGAGACAAAAGAACACCATAAGTGAAAATAACCGATGGCCGTAATAGAACAACAAATGAACAAACAAGAGACTTAAAAATATCTACATACTGCAGCACTTTTTCCTGGAAAGTTGAAGAAGGCATCAGGTCCATACTTCTGAGGCATGTGTTTTAACACAGACAATAACTTCCCAGCATGTGGTGGCTGACAAAGAGAATTATTACACTTGTAAATAAATAAAACACACCTATGAGAAAGAAAAGACTATACACACAAAAAATGAATTTTGACAATTTTAAAGCTTTGCAGATGGTTGAGTAATACTCTGCTAAGACACTTAGCACTTTCAATAAACAACATTAACAAAGAGTCATGGATACCTTCACACAATACGCAGTAGGTGCACTGAAATACAATTGATTTGATAACTAAATTAAGGACTTAAAGGCCAGAGCCACTTTCATCCAGCATAAACTAAACTGATCCTGAATGTTGGTTCCTTCCTCTATCTGTTCATTCCCATCAGCACTATCATATGCGTGGATCTGCAGTGAACTAAAGACATTTAAGTGATCTAGCTGAAAACTAATTCAGGAAAAACAAATGCAAACCAATTTTCAGTTACAGCAGTTTTGGCTTGTGGCTGCGTGAAACCTGTGCCAGTACAAGGAAGGTGGGGAATACCTTGCAAAAGGGAGAGGGAGGATCAGCAGACAGGACTATTTTCACCAGGACTACAGTCATATACTAGATTAAAGTGTCTTTGGTTACATATATCCCTTCATATAAGCCCATGGAGAAAGATTCAAGTCTCAAGGGCAATTTGGAGCACCTAAACTGAGTGCTCAGTTAGTGTGAATACTTAATGCTTCCCACCACCACCCTAATTCTGCATTGATTTTGTCATAATACTCAGCAACTATAAACTCCTATATGAGCTCACAACAACACAAGTACAGCAAATAGTGGTCATGAACAATTTTGTGCATCTTCTTTTACCACTTCATAACTTTCCAGTAGATCTATTTTTAAACTACAATTTCACACTTCTGATCTTTTCCTGAAAGTGCCCTTTTTCCGCTCTCGTAAGCAGCCATCCTCTGAAAACTAAGCATTGCATGATCTGTTACAAGTACTTCAGATGTACCAAAATTATAGTCAGATAAACAGTGCTTCATGAATCTGAATTAAAATTGAGTAAGAAACACTGAGAACTGCTCAGATGTCTTCAGCGCTATAGAATTCAGCTAGGTAATTTGTGTTGTAGCCAAATACTTTCTATCTTTACAGCACTGCTGATTTTAAGATTTATGGAGTTGTGCAACTCCTTAGCAATGCAACTGTGGCATTTTTCTTTTCCTTTCCTTTATATTCAGTCTTTAATAAAGAAAGGAAATTAAACATAAATAGCGGAGAGACAGGAAATGAAAAAGTCAATGTTACATAGAAAACTTTAATTCATCTATGGTTAAATATAGTCTGTATGTTCAATTATTAAGTTTAAACCCTCTATTATTTTTATTTGTGCAAGTTAAGTTCTCCAAAATTATTTATTTCAAAGGGTCTTTCAAATTTTGCTATATTATTTGTGCATACTGGCTTTTATACTGAATACATTTTTTTACATTATTTGAAGTTGATAGAGAAACTGTGCTACCTTTTCTCCACACTAGGCAGAGTATTTAGAGATACAGGAGCTGAATTAAAATTCAAAGCAGGTAAATTTAACAATTTAAATTGTTAAAATAGTTCCCAATTCCAGCAAACAACAATCCTGTGTTAAAGAAAACTTTATCTGGTGGCCTTTACAACACACACGTTTTACTTTAGGGAAGGAGGTTCTCAACAGTAAAAGGAGACCCTCTTTTCCCTTTCTAGTTCACGCAGGAACAGGAGAAAACACATGATACGATTTTTCAGCTGGAGCTTATTTCCTTCATTTCAATTTCTGCCACAAATTCTCACTTCCCTAACTAGATAAACTTTTTCAATCTTCAGGTAAAGAACAACAATGTAAAAATAGGAGCACACTGAACTTCCTGTGTAGACATTTTTTATTCATTTCTCCCTTTTGTCTTCAAAAAAAATTTTTCCTTCAATTTCACATAACTGGAATTACAAAAATAAAAACGTGCATAAAAACACTTGCTTGAAGTCACCATATTATTCCCAGGTGTTCAAAAAGACCAATCCAGTCTACAGATCCAGAAGGAAATTTAATTTCATCACTATTCTACTCTCTGTATTTTAATTGCTTGCAGGTAAAAAGATTCATTGATATAATATCAGAAAGCATCCTGTATTTCTTGGTACATTTAAAATTTGTTTACTATCAAGGTTATCGAACACCCTTTTAACTTGTGAACATTAGGAAAAATACAAGCAACACTACAAAAATGATTTCAGTTTTGTGTTTTCTTTTACCCATCTCCCTTTTTCTCCTTGAAGCTTGCTGAAGAATAACTTTAGCTCTCGAACTGTCAAGTTATAGCTAGCCAACACACCCAGCATATCCACTAAGAGATCTGAAAAGAAAAAGAACAGCAATATAATTGCTTAATAAAATGCAATGTCAAATTTCTGTCACTTAATAAAAGTTTCCATGAGATTTTACATAAAAGGAATACAGTTTGAGTCATACATTGGATGAAACTGTACCTGCAATCATGTTGTCAGCTCTATCAATCCTCTTGAGCACTTGTTCAACGAGCCCCACTTCTGTGCATGCTTGTAGATTGCGTATACTTTTCTTCAAGATTGCTGTAAACATGCTCCACACCTCAGCCTGGCAGGTGATGTCACACTTGTCCAGCAAGTCTACCATGCAGGTGATGCCCTCTCCTTCTTGGATGATAAAGTTCATTTCCAAGTCAAACCGGCCCCCAACAAGCTTTCAGACAAAAGATTAAAAAAAATCTTAAGAAAACTGTATCAAAGTACCATTCCATGTTTAAAGTTATTCATTCTGCGAGAAGAAAGCTATCAAAGACATAAGCTAAAAACACCAATATTAATATAATCAAGTCTTATTCTTCCTCTGTTTCAATTTCTGTTGAGTAACTTCAACAAAGGTGCTCCTAAGGTGTCACCTACTATCAGACAATTGCTGCAGAAGAACATTTGGGTAGTTTAAGATACAAGTGTCCTGAGCTGCCCCATACAGCTGAAAAGTGAAAAGACCAAGTGAGTATTCCAAAACAGGTGAGAGAGCCAAGTCAGCTAAGATGGTGTGGAGAGGCCCTAAAAGCCTTCCTTCGCATGTGCTTAACATTCCTCAAATAAGAGGGCAATTCTAGCCAAAAGGAGTTGATGCACCTCAGAAATATTGCCACTTACAAACACTTAAGAGTCATTCCTGAGATATTGAATAAAGCTGCTTAAGTATTAACTGCCAGTTTCATTAGTAGCCACAGGTACTAAAAGGAAGCAAAGGCTTGCTACATTTGCATGAATGTGAAACAGCAGCACTGTTTGAAGTCTTTGACTATGCTTTGGCTAAGGCACCTAAATCCTGTAATATTTCAGGTCTCCTAGATGCAGGGTTTGTTTGAACATACACTGAGTAACTAACCACATATGCACGTGCCAAGAATGTGGAGGGGGGAAGGAAATAACCTACTTCATTCTCATTTGTGTACTCAATAAAACAAAAATTCCAGTTGAAAGGAAGATTGATTGTACTAACCTAACTCCTCTACCCCAATTCCTCCCCTCCACTTTTTAAACTTCTTTTCGACTTTAGAACTGTATTAAACTTAATGCTTGCCATAATACCCATTATATATCAGCATACAAATAGGAATTCAGATAGCACTGACTCAAATGATCAAAATGGGCTCATGATCAAAAGTATTTCAGCTCATTCTCACTTCTACAAGTTTGTCTAATGAAAGACATTATTTCTGTCCTACATGGTGTTCCTTTCACAGGCTTTGACCATTAACAGCTTCGGTACTGTCACTTGTCGAAGTCACACCATGTCAAAATTGCCCCAAAATACATATACTAACTTGCTTCCATATTAGATCCGACAGCTTCTCTCAGCTAGTCAGGATCTGAAGATAAACTTACCTAACGGAACAGAATATGCGCTCTTCATTAACTACTGAAATTACCATACATTTTCCTCAAGTGTCTAAATCTTGTCACTTTGAAGAAGCAATCTTTGGTCTTCTGGGCATAAATCAGTAATGCCGAACACCACAAGAAGCAGAGAAAGTTACTGCTTTTATGACAGAATAGACAATGTCTCATGGCAACAATTTCTAAATAGTAATTTACACTTTTCCATTTTCTCCCCTCTTGGTCATGAAAAATAATTATGCAATTTACTCTCAGATGCTTCCTTAATATCTAGGGAATCCGCATGAACTGAATGGGGAGACTTGAATTATATTCCCAGCTTCTCTATATCAACTCACACTGTCAACCCAAACAAATCTATCAAGTCATTATCATGCTCCAAGCCTCAGTTTTCCCGCTTCCATAAGATGGAGCAGAGGTCTTCCTCAAGAAAACTCTGTAAGGCTGAATTCAAGGGAGAACGCTGAGCAGAATGTATTAACACAGAATTATCGCAAAACAAATGCAAAGAAAAAAGTACACCCCCCTTAAAAAAAAAACTGAACAAAACATTTGAAAACATAAAATACATAACCAATATTACACTTTATTTTACACCAAATTTATCATCCTCTACAAGACTGAGGTATTCCTCAAGAAGCCACTCTCTTTCTCACCATCAAGGTAAGAAACAAAGAAAATACCACATTCCGTGTACAGACAGAATAGCTGAAGGTTAAATTCTAGCCACAAAGTTAGCTAGCCTGCTAATTCTTAACAAGAAATTCAACTCTCTATGCATTTAGTTTTAACTATCAGCCAACCATCAATTATCACACCAAAACCATATACGGCAACTAGAGGTGACCTTACCTTCACCCTATAGTCTACACCACCAATCTTTCATTTTTGGCTAGATACACTATTATCAGTAACCAGCCATCCAGGAAGCTGTCAAATTAGGTTTCCAATCTAATCTGCAAACATAAGCATTTCAGCAAGTACATTCTAGAAATAATATGCTATGGTAGAAATAATTACCATTTTAACATTTCCTTTAAGGGAAGTGAGAACAAAAAAATTGACAGAGAAAGCAATATACCAAAGGCACAGTGCAGTTGATGTACTATATGTATGCATACCCATTAGATACACATAAGCAAACATACACCCCTCAGTATTTCATATTAACCCTTTCTAATGGTGATTTGAAACTGATCAACCTTCAAAACACAAATTTGTTTCCAATGACAGGGATCATAATCCAGGTCCATGCATTGGCTAGTTATTATCTGAGCTGCAGTAATGGCTGTGCACAGCAAAATGTAATCTTCCCAAATGTCACAGTAAGTTATGAATATCTGAGCAGCTTAATGCACCTTACTAGCCATGAAGTGTGAGAATGTAATCTTATTACCTTTTTTATGGTTGTATTTTTTTGAATAATGTAGCCTTTGAACTGATGTATAGTCTTTCCTTGCACTTTAGCATGATTTGGTCTCCTATGTTCCACAGTACATTTTTCAAAATTCTCCAATTCAACGTATTTTAAGTCCTATGCTGAGCTGCATAAACAATCTTTATAGCAACCTACAGGGTGGCATAACGTTTTCTTTCTTCAGCATGTAAGTATAAGCTTACAGGAATGGTTTTAAAGTGCAGTATTCAAAGTATTCAAATATAGCCTCACAAATTTTACATTTTGCCAGTTACATTTACCTTCAAAAAATATATAAACTAAACCAATAGTTAGAGCTTTTTGGTAAAATGTTTCTACATTCAGCTGACTGAGAACAGGGAGAATACTTTACAGCAATTTTTAACTACACGCTCAGAGTGTGTGATTTTTTTTTCCCCCCCCTTAGAGAACAAAACTAATGAGAAGTCAACATAATAATATTAATTTTAAGTATAAAATAGCACTACATCACTTCTAAATAGAAACAAAAAGCCAGTCTAAACACATGAAACTTCTCTTTGCAATGAACCTTTCATCTAACATAAAATGGGAGAAGTGATCCAAGATATAAAAGATATGGTGCACTCTTTGGGTGAACAACTACTGAACTACAATATGCAGAAAATAGCTCAAAATAAACATAGTCAAGCTTCGCTTTCCTGAAAGATCATGATCTAGGTTATTAATCTAATTTAAAGTCATTTCTCCCAGTGGCAGATATAAAATATTTCAAAAGCTTGTAAGAAAATGTGAGGAAAAGTATTTCAATCAACTATAACAGAAAAAAAAGAAATCAAGTCCAGGACCACAATCAGCATTTCTCCTGGAAAAGCCAAATTGGCTATACTTGGGAGAACTATAGGGCTGGATCTCCACAGTTTTATCTGAAACCTCTGAAAAAGCCTTCACTTCTACAGAGCTTCTTCATCCTTCTGGTTACTAGATAACCTACACATCAAGACAAACATACTTGTTTTGTTCCCTAAAGCGAGGATGAAAGAACTATTACTAACCAAGGAAACTATGACCTCCGTTTTCCTCAAAATGTTGATTTTGTAATCTCAGAATTGTTTCTTTAGCATGTCCAAAACAACAAGTAAGGACAGTGCCTATCCAATGCAAAATGCCAATCCCATGGGAAAAAAAAAAAAAGTCGTCAAATAGGCCAGTTCTATCTCAGTGGAAATTTTAAAAGTTTATGCTCAATAAGAACCTGCAAAGCTGTATGTAGAAAAGCTGATAACTGCCCAAAATCCTCTACTCATAACAGTAAGGTACTTATTTGTATAAGTCTTGATAAACATAAAGAAAAACGTGCTGAAGCGAAACTAGTTGCCATTTCAACAATTAAAGGTTTGATATATACCCTACATTTTACTTCTGTTCACAAAATAGCTATGTTATCCAAAATGGTCCTCCTCTTATTGCAATTTTACATCATGTCAGTTGACCCAAGGTTAAGGAAAAAAAAAACAAAAATATCAAACAAACAAAAAACCCCCCGTGTTTTTCATCCCTCAATGATGAAATCTGAATGCTGCTTCTGGAGAACCCAAACACAAAAAAATATAATATTCTTTGCCTACATTTACTCATATCTTCCACTAAAGTAATACACCACATCCTGGACTCCATCCCCTTTCACATATTCAGAAACTCAAAACAAATTTATTGATTATCAAAAATACATGCCAAAGATTTGGGAAGTGTAAGAACTAAGATCTCTTTAGGGCAAGGATCTCATAGGATCATGAGTGATCCCAAGCCAGTCAAATCCTCTGAGGGCACACAATAAACAGTGAAAGTCAACACCATGGTACACATCCTGGGTGGGATAAAAAGATGGTTCTGATTTGGAAAAGAGGAAAAAGGTGGCAAAAAAGAATAACTCATACATACTAATTTGCAGCAATCCATTCTCTGCCCTTCACCCCCCACTCTTCATGGGGGGTGTGCAGTCTTTTTTATCATTAACACAACACTTGGAGGTGGGAATATATTAAAATACAAGTCCTAAGAGGAGATTTGGTAGGAAAGTCTCTTGATAGTTTGGATCAGTATATCAAATAGTGACATTAGCATGAATGTCAAGTCAGTGAAATCATGACAAACAGGGCTCAGGCCCAGAGATGTTACAGGGAGGCAAGAAAGGGACAGAAAAAGTCTGGATGTCAACCTTTTTTAATTCAATGTATTGCCACTATATCAACCATAATGCAACCAGAAAAACTAGACAAAGCACAAAGAACTGTGGGAGGACCCACTCATGAAAGGCAAGGTCATAACCTTCCAGCAAGACACAGATGATTTAAAGCCATTTGCTACCTTAGCAGTAGCTCAAAGTTTAAAGTAACATGAGACCATGAATA